GTTCGAGGGCCAAGCAATCACTATCAAAAGAAGGAGGCATAACATCAAATTTCATTTTCCTTTATCCTTCTTCCAACATTTATGTGTTCGAGGGAACTATACTTTTGTATAATTATATTTTCATAGGCCAAGCAATCACTATCAAAAGAAGGAGTATAATAATTGATTTATTCCACTTGATTTATAGGCCAAGGAAACTATACTTTTGTATGATGATTGATTTATTCCACTTGAAATATTATGTGCAAAGAATTCTTAATAATTTTTGACACTTTTTATTATGTACATAGGTAGAGGAAGGAGAAATAAAGGGAGAACAAAATAATAAGTAGTAATATCAATAGAATGAGTTAGGACGGGGCAGGTGGGTTAATTTTTACCCCGCCATAGATTCAACACACCCTACCAAACCCCAATTAATATTTTTTTGTTTTTCAATACCCACCCCACCCCTCCCTAATTAGCCCTGCCCCACACCACCCCATTTAGCTCCTCTATTTTGTTTTCAAGTTCACAACGGTAATTTAGAAAAATTCAAACTAATCAAAATGTAACCAATGAAGTTTTTATTCTTGTTGGATTAAGAGTATTTCATTATTATTATTATTATTATTATTATTATTATTATTATTATAGTATTATAAAAGTTTGTAATACTACACAAAATTACCAAAATTAGTCGTCAACTAATAGTGAAAACATTGTATAAATGGTTCTAATTAGTATTAATATATAAAAATTTCAACCCAAAATTTGGCTTGCTTGGCCCATTTAGAATTTGAGTTGTGATTCTCACGCCCTACCCTATCCTACGAAATAACTGATTTCTCTATAGATTTTGAAAATCTAATTTTAAGTTTCTATTTCAAATCAATGATTGTTTATGATATCAACACATTATTCAAATCGTGATTTTAAATCCCAAAATTGTCCAAAAATTAGATTTGGAATTCCAAATTGGAACTTTGATTTGGTTTAAAATATGAACTTGACCTATCATTTATATTTTAAATAAAAAGAGATTCATAATTTTAAATTTTGTAAAATATAATAATCATTCTCGGTGTGAAGAGATTGTTCGTATAATATGATGATTTTATAAAAGAATAAGGATGATGCACATGTACCCCTTCAACTTATGCCCGAAATCAGAGACACACTAATACTATACTAAGATCCTATTACCCACCGGAACTTATTTTATTAATAATTTTCTATTCCTTTTCAGTCTACGTGGCACTATCTTGTGAGCCCAACATTGGTTGACTTTTTTTTCCAGACTAGTGCCATGTAAGCCGAAAAGGGGTAAAAAATTACTTATCAAATAAGTTCAGGGGGTAATAGGACCTTAGTATATAATAAGTGTGTCTCTGGGATTTCAGACATAGGTTGAGGGGTACTTGTGCATTTTCCCTAAAAGAATAGTTAGTTACTATCTTTTAAAAATGTATTCAATCAATAAATATATGTAAAATTATGTGAATTTGAAAGTTTGTAAGAACATTTGAACATAAATATTTATAAGTACAACATATATGGAGATGTGTAATTTTTTTAATTTAGCGCATTAGTATTCTTTGTACCTTATTTGTGAACGACAATTTGTGCATTGGTTAGATAGTACAAGAATTATTGGGATATTTTGAAAGTTTTCAAAATATTATGGGCTTTTCCTTGTAAATAAGAAAAAAAATATAATTAATGAATTATATATTGCATTCTAAAACGAAATTTCAACATCAAATCAACATTATTTCAAATTATGATTTGAAATCATGTCAAAATGGGCCCTTAGTTTGATCGGACATGAAATTTCAAATATAATAGATTATTTAAACCTTATAGTTGTTAATTAAAGACATGTGTAATATACCAAAATATCCTTTGATCTTGTGGTTTAAAATATGTCATTATGACTTTAAAGAAAAAGATATATGGATCGGTTAGCTAGTTAGCTTTTATTTGAAGAAGAATTTTATCTGATAATATTTTGTTGAGTTATGAATTGGTACGGATAAATATAACCAAGATGGATAATAAAACTGGATCTTCAAAAAATTTAGTTGAAGGAGACTTCACACAATCGGTGCTATAGGAACATGCTTTGTCTCACAATCGAAAAATTCAAGTCATAATGACACCTAACGATACCCACTGGTAGGTAAGCAAACCCAAGGCTGGAACGGAAAGAAACATGACCTGGTGGACGATGGTACAAAGCTAATAAAATGAGTACAAACTCCATAAATAAGCAAAATAAGTAAATACTTGTGTTGAATACAAAATAATAGCCAAAAACTATATACAAATAAAGATGAGTCAAACTAGAACTAGGGGCGGCTCGACGTGATTGAGGGCCTAAAGCGAAATTTCAATTCGAGGCCTAAAATATTAACAAACTTCATATACGTATTTATTCAAAATTTATTTTTCTTACATTATTTGATAAAAGTTTTTAGTATTTTAATATTATTAGTTTTAGGTAAGATTTTATCAACTCTAAATTGAAATACATCCTTTCAATGATACAATTATTATACGAATTGTTAATATAATTCTATAAGTAATAAGTTGACAAATATTAAATAAAGATAAGAGTTAGAACCATATAATTTGATACAAGAGGTTGATGACTTGATATACCCATTTTAATATGCTTGTAGTAATGCTTGAAAATAAATTTTAAAAAGAAAAAAAAGAATTTGTAACTCACTTTGTTCAATACTTTTCACTATTAATTCTTTTTAACAAAGAATAAAAGATGTTAAAGTGAGTGAAATAATATATATTTTTAAAAACATTACTTTTTATAATAAATAATTATTTTTTTATATAAAAATTTTAACACATAATTTATTCATTCTTGATAAAAATTTGGGGGCCTAAGGCAAAAGTCTTATTCTCAAAGGCATAGAGCCGGCACTGACTAGAACGCCATGAACTCACCTTCGATCTTTAAATGTCCCAACAGTTGTACACGAGATCAACGTGGTTGACTGGTGCTCGGGTCTGCATAAAGAAAAACAAATTCAGAGTGTAACATGAGTAGTTCCAAAATAATAGGTATCCAATAGGGATATCAAAGGCCAACCACGCTTGGAAACTAAATATACAATGAAAAGAGGGACGTAAAGTGGCATCAAAGAGGCAGGAGAATAGAACAATAGTGATAAGTCTAACCATGCACCACAATAATCTAGCAAGAAGCGGGACAATAAAGTATATCAACAAACTATAACTTAACGAGATCCGCATAAGCCTAGCAGGTATACTCATACGAACTTGAATGAAAATAACCCAAACGGGCCTCCATAAGCTCGATTAGTACATAGAAGATCTACATGTAATTCTAAGATTAGATCTATTCTAGAATTGGAAAGTCCAAAACTCAGACTCAAATTTCAGCTAAGGAGCCCAAAGGACCTAATAGAAACATGTTGCAGGGATTGAAACTCGACTAATAATCTAAAAGGCTTACTACGGTCAACATAACTCTTATGCCTGCTTTGTGTGGATCTAAGCATATCGTGAATCATACGAACTATATCCAAAGCCTCTTGAAGCAAATCAGTACCACGTGACCTAGGCTCTGAATCCTCCAATGGGAGAGCGACAATGCCTACCATATAAGGTCTTAAATGGAACAATCTAAATACTCGAATGGTAAATGTTGTTATACACAAACTCCGCAAAGGTTATTTAGAACTAGTCCACTGACCTCTTGAATCCAGCACACATGACCGAAACATATCTTTCAAACTTGAATAGTATGCTTCAATTGCCAGTCAGTCCGAAGATGAAAAATTGTGCTAAGGTCGTGTTAGGTACCAACTCCTCCTAAGGGTTTCTCTAGAAGCTAGAAGTGAAATGGGAATCCGTATCATAGATAATAGACACATGCATCCCATGGTGACAAACTACCTCCTGAATATACACTAAGCTAACCTCTCAACACTTAAAGAAGACTGAATGATAATGAAATGTGCTAAACTAGTCAACTGATCCACGATTACCCAAATACTATCAACAACTCTGGAAGTCTGAGACAATCCCATAACAAAATCCACAGTGATGCGTTACTATTAGAACTTTGAAATGGGTAATCTCTTAAACTCACCACCAAACCTCAAATGGTCGAGCTTCGCCTGTTGTCAATACAAGCAACAGAACACATAATCCACAGTATCTCTACAGATGCCACTCCGAAAGTCAATATAATTAGATTATTGACATTATATTTCCTGCCATATGTACTAGTATAATTGTCCATCTGTTTAGCTTACATGTCCAGGTTTGACTTGATACATCTCTTAAGAAATAATAAACAATAAAATAAATTTAACATACCATCCCTATAAATTACAAGTCATCGAAATAATTATTTACCATGTGCATTTTTAGTTCATGTAATTATCAATACAATTTCATCTATAAAAAAGCATAACCACACAAAGTGAAATTCACCAAAATCAATAAACTTAGAGAGAGAGAGAGTATTAAAAACTTGAAGTAGTTGAAAAATGGCTGGTGAGAAGGAAACAACTAAAGTGGCAATTGATAAGTATAGGCGGTTCCTCCATGAAGATCATGTTGCAGCTGCAGAAACTATAGAGTGGAAACATGGTAGCCCTCCAATTTATGACAGTGTTAATAATGTCTTTGAACAAGGAAGAACCAAGGTTTGTTAACTATTCCTTCCCTCTCTTAAGTTATGTGATATTTTTTCATATGTCATTAAAATATTTTGAGTTGTTAGTTATTGTATTATTTTGTACTCTCCTCCTGCCCATTTACTTACTTTGTGAAATAATCCTTACTTGTTGATTTCAATTTTTTATTATTTTCTTTCATCATCACTTTATAATCTCTCCCTAACATTTATTGATTAAGGTAAATATGAAAATTAAGAAATAATATATTGATTTTATAAAATGACAAAATTTGGATCTTCTACTTTTAATAAGCACAGGAACTAAAATGGAATACTATTTTTTTACGTGGTTTTTAAATATATAAATTTTATATTAAATGATTTAAAAAATTTATGTTGGAATTCAGCTTTTAACATGTGATCAATGTCCATGATTGAAGTAGTGATTTTATCATCATTTTTCTTGTCAATATGATTTGTTCTGTTTGGTTTTGATGGTTAAATCAGGTATGGCCAAAAGGATCTCTTGAAGAAACAACACAAAATTCTATAAAGACGTGGGAAATGGAGATTAAATACAAGACTTGCGTAAACGACATTAGGACCATTAATCTTGAAAAATTTAAGCTCTTTGTTAATGGTAAGTCTTACAAAAATCAATTCTCAATTGTTTTGAATTATTCTTCTTAAATATAAAATACAAAAAGTATCATTTATTTTGAACGGCTGAACAGGAAGAGAAGGACTGTCAGCAGAAGAGACACTAAAAGTTGGATGTTACAATGCGCTATTGAAGAATTCAATGCCGAATGAATTCAAATACCACAAAGAAGACGAAGAGACCTTTGAATCGTCTCACAATGCTTTTTGGTCAGCTTTTCCAAGAGGATTCGCGTGGGAAGTGATCAACGTGTATACTGGCCCTCCCGTTGTGACATACAAATTCAGGCATTGGGGTTTCTTTGAAGGACCATTTAAAGGACATGCACCTACTGGTGAGATGATACAGTTCTACGGCATTGGCATTATGAAGGTCTATCTCCCTCTCTCTTATATATACACATATATCGTTTTCATTTATGTGACATTTTGTTAAGGCACAAAATTTAACTAAAACAAGACTTTAAAATTTATGATTCAATACAAAACTTAGATATATTAGGGCTGCAAATTATGTAATTACAGGTAAAATGGCAATCTCAAACTTTAGATTAAAATTTGCACACACAAAATAACCTTGAAAATAGTTGATCTTGAACATTTGGACACTTTCCTTAGATAAACTTTTACGGTCAAAACTCAAACGTGTTGCCCTTGGAACAAAAATTTTGTCCATGAGTTCAAGACCACATATTTACTAGGTCGTTCATGTAAATGATCACCTCGGCTAGAATCTTATTGAGTCACTTAGAATTAGTCCAATATAAAGAATTAAAGTTCACATACATTAGTATAAAACTTGTGAGTTTAACTAACTAGTTGTTTTTGTATATTTGCAGGTAGATAAATATCTAAGAATGGAGGAATTAGAGTTATACTATGATCCAGCAGAACTTTTTGGTGGACTACTCAAGGGACCAAAAATATCTGAATCAAACATTGAGCAAGGTCAGGATGATAATACCACCACTCAACAGTGCCCATTATTCAACCACAGCTAATTATGTCAAATTTCACTTCTTCAATAAAATTTTGGTACTTCACAAATAATATTGTTTTAATAAAGTGTATGCAACTCTATTTCCAAATAGTCATGTTATAATAAAGTGTATGCAACTCTATTTCCAAATAATCATGTTTCAATAAATTTTATGCAACTCTTTATATTTTTTCAGTCATCAAATTTTCTCTATCTACATTTTTCTTGATATGATGATTGTCTTTCATTTTTCCTGTATACATTAAGATATGCTTACTCTTCTTAAGCCATAAGGATTATTATGAAAAATGAGAAAAGTGAACTTAATTGAATCGATTCGTTTGATTTCAAAATAAATTGGGTTGATGCAAAAATCTTACTTACATCTTTGGTGTTTCTATCAATCAAACAATTATATATACTCAAGAAAAGAGAATACAAAGAAGAAAAAAATAGCCAAATGGATATTTGGAGATGCACACCATTGAATTACCTTTTCCCCCTTAATTCCTTACTCCCCATCCTATCACGACCCAAATGGTTGTGAATGACATATGCAATTCTCTCAAATGCAAAATTAGTTCCCTCACCACAAAGATAACCCTATCTCTCATATATAAATTGTCACGACTGGAATCTAGACTCCAGAGGAGACCAGCGTCGTTGATCTCTCAGAGGTCGCAAATAAGCCTACTTACGTCATTCTTACTTTACATAGGTTAATTTTAGTGGAAAATTTGAAATTTTTGATTCTTTAATTATACTTGCTAATCGTTCATCATAAACCATCTAACATTTAAGACATAAGTAACTGAAAAAAATAATTCATTAAGTATTAATTTTATATCGGCCAAAATAGCACTAATACAAAGTCTGAACCAAAACAGGAAAGAAACGCTAGTGGAACATGATCCACTAGCTCAACTCTAAAACTACGCTAGAATGTAACACAGTAGCATCCTCGAAAGCATGAGAACCTACCAAACTCCGGAGGAATGCTGACGTCCGAATAGCTACAAAAATGAACCTGTAGCTCGACCGTCCACATGTGCCTGCACCTAAAAGTAGATGTTTGTATTGAATTAGTACACACTTGTACTAAGTATGGGTATATGCAATCACACACTAGGGACATGCATGAGAAAGAATAGTTTTTTCCTAACAACATGATTTTTGGAAGTCAGGTCAGTGGACTTGCCAAATTGAGATTGGGAAAGTTATGCCACGAGAGTGACATGCATCATTATAATTATCAAATTGCACACAACACATAACATCTGCATATAGCACATAACATATGACACATAACTTCTTTCATATTATTCATTCATATGCCATGAGACCTTGTTATCATGGACTTGACCTTAAGACTTTCCAAAATGAGGGCTCAACAGATGGGACCTCAACTAGGGAGCCTTCTTTAGCAAACACAGAGTTTTCTTCATTCACTCATACGTACCTCATTTCAGTTCATTCATAGGCCAGTGTGAACACCAGTTATACCTAGAATGTAGTTTAAGACTTTCATCGGGTTTGTTGTGCAATGATCAGGAATAACCTAATGTCATTACCTGAATCTAGCTCACCTCTTGATTATCCTATTGTAACACCTTCGGTATCATTCATTTCTTTATGTGATTCATTTGAGACTGGCCTCATTCATTCATTGGAAACTTTAACTTTAACCGTCATAGATCATGTGAGCATCATGTAATTCAGTGTCTCCCCCACACCGAAAAGAGGTGGAATCACCGGCCAAAGTGACTCAATAACATGCTAGCGTATATGGGAATTTAACCCCGCCAGATCCCTATAGTGGCAGTATAGGTTCAAAGACTAGGAGATGTATGGAGACACATACCCGGCAAGCCGGACAGTCTCATCTCATGAGAGTTACGTGAACCTTCGCCCTTCCCGAAAGAAAGCATCACTGCTCATAGCTAGCCTATCAGTGCTCAGTATAAAGTTACATTACATTCAACTCATACATCATGGAAGTTGGCTTCTAGTATGAGGACATCATAGCTCAATAGATGATTTCTCATCTCATCATTAGTACTAAATATTTTAAACTCAATATTTTCATTAGAGTGTTCATAGAGATTGGTCTCTTCATTATCAATACTCTCATTGGTGAGTACGTATTGGTAACATTTACTTAGGCTCATTTGAGATTGCTCTCATCATATACTAGCCTCATCATGATTGTCACCACATTATTCATTATTAGCACCTTTATTTTTCATAGTTACTCACCTCTTATTTCGTGAATGTTCATTTCTTCATTTTATTAAGTATATCTTAGGTTCACTTATTTTTGAACGTATGTTAGACTTATGTGTCTATACATACAAGCCATGTGGCTTCATTTATAGTTCGTTAAGTGATTCTTACTTTCCTAATATTATGCATTACAAGACTTATGTATCTTGTATATATGACAAGATCTTAATTTTTTATCTAAGTAGATGGTATTATTCTTGAATATTTTACTCACGTATGACTTATGTATCAATACAGAGGTTTGGACACGGGAACCCAAATCTTGAATCACTTGAATATCATTTATATTTTTCATTGATTTTATTTCTAATATTCATAACATTAGAACTCTAAATTAAATCTCAACATTTTCATGAAATAGTTATTTTTTATTTTAATTAGAATTCTAACTTAAATCTCAACATTTACATGAAATAATTAATTTTCTATTTTAATTAGAATTCTAAATTAAATCTCAACATTTTCATGAAATAATTAATTTTCTATTTTAATTAGAATTCTAACTGAAATCTCAACATTTACATGAAATAATTAATTTTCTATTTTAATTAGAATTCTAAATTAAATCTCAACATTTACATGAAGTAATTAATTTCTATTTTAATTAGAATTCTAAATTAGATCTCAACATTTACATGAAAGGATTAATTTTCTATTTTTAATTAGAATTCTAAATTAAATCTCAATATTTACATGAAAGAATTAGTTTCCTATTTTTAATTAGAATTTTAAATTAAATCTCAATATTTACATGAACGGATAAATTTATTTTATTTTAATTTTACTACTAATTAACCGAAAGGTTGGGGGTTCGAGCCCCAACAACCCCTTTGATTTTTAGAATTAAATTTGCTACAATAGGGAGGTTGTGGGTTCAAACCCCCACAACCCCCTTATTTTCCTTTCTTTTTTCGCTGAGTAGGAGGCTGTGAGGTGATGGGTTCGAACCCCCACAGGCCCTCCATCTTTAATTTTTTTTTAATTTTTTTTATAGAGGCAAGTGGCAATGAGGTTGTGGGATCGAATCCATCCCCACAACCTCGCTTTATTTTCTTGTTATTTCGCCTCACAGTTCGGCGCTGAGGTCGTGGGTTCGATCCCCACGCCTCGCATCTTTTTTTTTATTCGCGATTGGGAGGTCGTGGGTTCGATTCCCACGCCTCTCATTTACTCGTTTGTTTAATTTTTCCTTTTCCTCCCCCAAGTCGCGTGTTCAACTCCCCTAGCCCCCATTCCCTTTCATTTTATTTTTTTTTTAATTTCGTTGGCCCCCAACCCCAGTTCAAATCCCCTTAACGCGATTTTTTTTCCTTTTTAAAGCGTGCGTTGGTGAGGTCCTAGGTTCGATCCCTGCAGACCTCACCTTTTTTTTTAAAATTTTTTTGACACGCAAAATTACCAGAATTCACCTGTAGCGAATTTCCAGATTCTGAAACTTTGTTACACATTTTTATGTAGCATTTTACGGGATATTTGAGCATCTCTTTCTTGGTCGTTCATTAGGATTCATTAGACAAGTTAAAGGTATGATTTGGTCATTTCTTTAACTGGAATTTCTAGCATTTCAACCATGTGAACATCACGATATTAAGAGCCTCTAATTGCACATAAAACACGAGTAATCTCTAATCTATTAACATGCTAAAGAAAGACCCAAAATCATGGTCAAAATCTTGCACAAATACATACGTATTTACATTCATATTTCCGAAAGACACAAAATATAAACACATAATCATGAACACATACTCGAAACAAGATCGTCACCAAACATATCAACCTAAAATCGTTGGGAGCTAGTGACAGGGAACATGCAAAAGGGAAAACAATCCTAGTTTCGGATGAACTACGTGAACCCTAAGGGATCTCTTGGGAAAGGGACCAAGAGGAAAGGAACCCATACCTTTATTGATGTTCAAACGAAGAATTTGTTGCCCAAAACTCTCTCCAAAAATCAGTCCAAATTACCTCAACGTCCACACCACTCAACGAACTTCTCTTTGCCTTAACGTTTTTGGTTGCTTTTTTTTGTTTTTTTAAAAATTTTCATGTGAGTTCTTCAAGTGTAAAGAATTCTTGATGTATTCTCTGGTTCTTAAAATTATTTTTGGCAGAAACCAACGTGAGAGATATATATGGAGAACGTGAGAGAGAGAGAGTTACTAGGATTAGGAGACTAAATTCAAGACTAGTCAAATAGGATTTAAATTAGATTAATACAAATCTGATTTATTTTAATTAATACGTGAAAGGACCACTATGCCCATAAAATTTCAGATTTTTAATTAATAATTAAATCACCTTAAGTACCTATTATTTAATTTATTTATTTTTTTCGGGTCGTTACATAAATATTTGCATATGAGGGACAATAGGAAACACTCTCTCATAATGAAATTCGAACCATGCATACATAATTCATAATTTTGTCCTTATTATTTTGGCACCAACTTAAAAAAACAATAAGACTAGGATTACTATGCATAGGACTTTCTTAACTCATAACATAGGCTAGAGCAAAGGTAGGATACATTTGGGAGCAATGACTACGCCCTCCTTGTTACCCTTTTTACCTTGTTTTCCTTTCTTTTGTTAGACAATCTTTTCTCTTCCTTTGAGTCGTTAAATGTGACTCCCCTTCCTTTCTCTCTTTTCATTCACTATTCCCTTTTTTCAATTTGAAGGTAAATACATTCAAACTATCTTAATACACCATATCCACATGTGTTGATCATTTCTAACCTATATTTTTCATACCCCATTGTACTTTTCTTATATACTCATGAAAGCCACCCTCAATTTAGGCATTTTCCTGAGTGAGATACATGATGTCTAAGGAGGGACAGGGTCAAAGAAAGGTAAACATATGACAACAAACATGCTTGTATTTAGGCTCAAAATTAGGGACATAGTCTAATTTTTGGAGGCATTTTTACCTATGTAGGAAAAATACAACAATAAATCTATGAAATTAGAACCATTGCTTAACAATTTAATTTTGGGGGCATCAACATGGGGTGAGATTAGCAATTTAATTTTGGGGGGGCACCAGCATTGGGTGAGATGGGACCTGCTCTGATATCATGTGAAATTAGGTCTTAGGCCTAATTCACACCCCAAAAGCTAGCTCAAAAGGAGGAAGATTGCCCAAACCTTATAAGGTGTCCACCATCTCATTAACTACCAATGTGGGAGTTTTGTTATCTTTAACAAAATCAGGTGGAAAGCATATGATAGTAGACAAATTATCTTTTCTCTTAACTTATCTTATAAGGAGTCCACCCATCTCATTAACTACCGATGTGAGAGTTTTGTTATCTTTAACAAAATCAGGTGGAAAGCATATGATGGTAGATAAATTATCTTTTCTCTTAGCTTAATGGTGGTGCGTCAGATCGAGGCATCATCATGAGTTATTTTGAGTTGCTTTCATAATTTTGTGTTAACAGTTTGCTATGATATTAAAGTTACATAGCTCAAACAACTCGTAACTATCTAATAACATAGAGAAATGTCAACGTCATTCAAGTTTGTAAAATCCAATTCTTCATCTGTTAGAAATCGTTAAATATATGAACTCCACTTTAGGTGAATTATAAATATGTTTTTGAAATCTAATACGTACATATACTCTATATTTACGTATGTTGATATTGAAATCTATTTTTTTATTTTATGAATTCAAATGCATTATATCATAGGAAAAGTTCTTCCTAGCTATTTTTTCGATGTAGAAATCTTCTAAGTATTATTGTTACTATCTTTCTGTAAGAAATTTATTTTGCAGTGAATTCTGGACTCTTTGGGACATACCTAATTTATCATGAAGACTATAATGTCTAGTTTGCTTCAGTTTAATTATTTATTCCAAGCTAAATTACAACACAAGACCATTGGGCTGTCTAGATATACTACTTTAATATATTATTAGTGTGATTAGCTCAAACTAGGTTCACTTTTCATGCTAATGTTGTTTCTGAAACTATTAGGTACTTGGTTGCATATAAAAGGTGTATGTACAAGCTAAAAGAAGTTGGTTAAGGACTACTTGATGTATTTGTTTGGTCTATGATTTGAACTCTGCAAGTTGTTGAAGTAAGAAAATTTATGTGCTAATTAAAAGCTAAACTTGAACTCTCTATATATGTTGGAGTATTTCAACTACTATCTTTGAAACTTTTGTTTACTTTTATATCATTGTATCGTATTTCTAAATGAGGGTGAAATATTTGTTAATTCGTCACTTGTACAAATTGTTTGATCATTTTGCATTCGTGTTGGACCTTTGTCCTTTTTGTGTCTTTGACTTTAATTTGTCACCATATCGCATGCCTCTTGTTTAGAATTTTTTGTCATCTTAGTTATGGAAATTGTACACAAACTTGAAGTCATTCTAAACATTGTTCTTGACTTTCTTGATGATTATTGGGTTTCAGCCCTATTTATACAAGACTTCGATCCTTCTCAATATTTGATTATGCTTGATGTAATAACATAGCATATACTATTTTCAAGTTTTGATACCTAGAAAATATTGAGAATGACTGAATTATATCCTGATAAATTTAGCATGTGTGCACTTCATTTTTAACTAGCAAATGACATTATTGATGTTGTGATATAGATAAAAGGTTCTCTGATTTACATAGGCTTTGTGATCTTTCAAAAAGATTAGTTCATACAAAAAAACATTCACGTTATCCTCTTGTGTTTTGTTCAGTGAAATTTGCTTTGCTTTTGCCAGTTGTCACTGCACCCGTTGAAAGACCATTTTCGTGAATAAATTTATTAAGAATGAGTTGTGAAGTCGAATGAATGATGACTTCTTGAGCGGTTGCATGGTTCCTTTATAGAGAAGGATGTGTTTAATGATGTTTCTATAGATGATATTATTTTGTCTTTTCGAGAAATGAAATTTGTTGAATAGTATCGTAAACGTGCTTCAGAAGTATTAGCACTAACCTCTTTTTGGAGTTTATAGTTAGAACTCTTCTCCTAGAGTGAGGCATTATGAAGTGCTATTTTTTTTGTTCTAGTTAGCCTGTTTTTTCTCTACTTAGAATCCTAGTTCTAGATTGACATATTGTAAAGGGATAACTTTTTATTTCAGTGTAATCACTCATGTTAGTTTTAGATTTCTTGTAACGAAACTAACGTTGTGTACCTACTACTTCCTTGAAATTTTATTTTGTTGGATTATTTACACGTTTATATTTTTATTTTTTGAATCCCTGAATGAATTTTCTAGGTCTGTCACTGACCATGGTCCGAGGAAATGTCACGTTAATACAATTGCTCGACGAGCGAATCCTTCTAGTAACTAAGTGCAACCACCTCTTAGCATCCAATGACCATTCAGTAATGGTGATGCCCTCTGTAGTATCCCACTAAACCATGTCCCAACGCATAGACTCCACCAGCGTATCTATCAACTAGGTCATGTCCATCTCCCTTAGCTTGGCTTCGTACTCTGTGTTGGGAACCTCGGTCACCTTGAGTATATCATTAATAAAGAGAGGGTTCAAGGGGATGTCAACTCCCCGGAGGCAGATGGTAGAGTGAAGATCATCCCAGCGCACAGTAGGTAAGATGACATAGAACTCCCTCACCCATGTGGAGTGTGCAAAGAGGGAGCCTCTGTCAGTAGATCCCAGCCAAACTCCATCAGACGAGTATAAAAGGTGTGTGCCTTCTCCTCCATGCCAATCAAGTGAAAACCCCTATTCCAACAGATAAGTGGGGAAACCATTCCCTCCCACCCCCACCCCCAACCCCTTTTATTGTTTCCGATCTCTCGCTACAGCAAGCGATATCTCGCCACAGTGGCTCTGCCTCATCGGGGATCCAATCGCTCTAGCAAGGCTAGGTTGAGTAATTTGGGCACATTTATTTTCTTCTGGTGTTGCATATTTTCCCTAACCGAGTATAGAACCCTTTAGTTCTTAAGAGTTGAAAAATCTCCATCCTTCGTGTTTTTGTAGTGGTACAATTTTCTAGTTTGGGAAGCACTCCAAAGAGAGCTCATAGTTATCCCTTTTCTAGTCGTTCGGGGACGAACGAGGGGTAAATTAGTATTTATTATAATGATCAAAACTATCATTATTTAGAAAATAAAAATGTCGAGGGAAAACTAGGGCCACCATTCCGCCACAACGGACCATTTGCTACTGGGATGATGATGGCAGAGCTCTCGCTAGAGCAGGAATGATGGGACAGAACTTAAATAACGTGAAGTCTATTTTTTACCTTTTTCTTTTCAAAACACAAAAAATAGGCGAAGATTACCCACATACCTTGAAAAGATGCCCTAGGTTAGTAAAAAAAAGGAAGAGATTTCTAATGCAAGAACGATGATACCTAGCGAATTCTTGGTCAAATCCACTGTCACAAGGTCTGGAAAATAGAAGTGGAGCCGTAATTGTGTACAAATGCTTCACATAGGCTAGGTTTATTTAATTCAACAGTTCTAAATCTGTGGTTCACCTTAGTATACTAGTTATTGAAAAAGGAATTGTCATTCATGTAATCCTAGTTATCCCATTTGGAGTGTAGCTTAAAAGAAAGACTATTCTTGTGAATCAAGGTAGGTAATGGTTGAATCTTGATCTGTTATGTATGTTAGCAATTGCTTCGTTGTAGTGCATATATGTATGACAATGTTGCACTAATGTAAATAAGTATGAATCTAACATCTCGTAACTTGAAACAACTAAGTTTAAGCTAAGAGACCAAGAATAATCATTTTTGGAATTAAATAGGGAAATTTGAAATTAATTTCCAGATTTCAAAAATGAGTTTTGGTCATTTTCAAACAGCCATAACTTCCAGCTCAAGAGGATTTAAGGTGAGTTTTTTATATGCATGGAAAGATCTTCCCCCAATGACGCCGAGTTTGGCAGAATTCCGAGGTGGTATGAGGGAGATATGACTTTCGGAAGTTGGGCTATTGAACAGAGGAAAAATCCAAACCCTTATTAGTTAAGGGTGTTTTGATCTTTTACTTAACCCATTATCTAATTTCGTTTTTGGGTAATGAGTTGGAGTCTAAGATGATCCCATTCAGTTTACGTATTAGAACGCAAGTTAGGATTTTTGGGAGAAGATAAAAGACGAGAAGAAAAGAGAAGAAGATGCAAGAACGCCAAGGATTGTTGCTTGGATTTCGTCGGGGTAATCCCTTTAAGATATGTGAGATCTTTTGAGTTGGGTTACTCCACCCACATACCAATTTATTTCAGTTCAGCGAGTTTGTGGATCAATTTCTTGTTAGGAGTCATGTTTTTGGAAGAACATTTTGATTTCTTGTTGATTGGATTGTTGGCTGATATTGTTGATTAGATACTTATTAATTCGAGTTTTTTAGTTGAATTCAGTATTTATTGATAGTATCAATAGCCCCAACTGTTTAGGGAAAGAACTAGGAAGTTTTGGAGAATTTGGAGATGGAAAACAAGTTTAGAAATTTGTCAGATGCACATGGGTAAGGGTAGGCGTGGTGCGCCTGCAGTGCTCCAGAAATTGGTTTCAATCAACCAAGGCCTCGAGCGGTGCACCACCAGTATGCCTAACTCGGCGTTTTTCATCCAATTTTTAGAGTTTAGCCCTTTTAAGTCCTTCCAAGGTACATTAACATCTTCCAATGATTCTAATCACTTCAAATGATTTCTAAATACCTAGAAATCATCCAAGAACTCAAATCGAAACCTTGAATTCATAATCCATTCAAGGAAAGTTAGGACTGAAGTCAAGTGAGTTAAGGAGTGAGTCTAAATCTATGAAGTAAGTTAAATTAAAGTTTCTTAAATTTTCCAAGAGTCTTGCCTAAACTTTTTAACTTCGTTTTAAGACTCAAGTTCCGAATTAAAGAATGAGTAAAGGTTAAAGTCTTTCACAAACGTTTTCACTTTGTTTTAATAACCTAGAGCTCAAGTCAAGTAAGGAGTAAGGAGTTGAAGATCTTTCTTCCAAGTAATATAAGGGAACTAAGTATTCCTAAGAGTTAAGTTCAAGTTAAGTTAAGAGTAAGAGTTGAGTTCATTTCTCAAAGTTCGTAAGGGGACTAAGTATTCCCTAAAAGTGTATAAATGTTTCACATTTAAGTAAAAAGGAAACTTAGAGATTTCAAAAGAGCTTTGAACTAAAGAGGGGAACATTGATTCCAAAAAGGAGCTTTTAAAAGGGTTCAGTAAATTATCTCAACCCAAAGGAAGGAAGTTTTATTAAAAGCATGAGCTAAAGTATGTTTTGAGAGTAGTATTGAGCACTGATATGGGGATGAGAGTTCATATTAACTCAAGTGTCAATGTAAATCATGAAGTCATCATAGGAATTGACAGGTCATACTTTTTAGATGATCATGTAAGTCAATCTAGAGGATCTACTACGCTAAGTAAGGTCTTATACCGATGGCAAGGTATAGGACAGTCCTGGCAGTGTGTGCAAGATGTTGTATCACCACTTAGGCTCATAGTGGCGGTTGTCGATTAGAGAAACTCACACAGAAATTATACTACTTTCATGTATGAGTAAATTTGAGTTTATTATTGTTTTATCTTTAATAAACTAAGAGTTTACACTGTTTTACCAGTTTAATATATATATATATATATATATATATATATATACTGCATATGTATTTATTGTTTTATATTGAGTTGTTATCTTGTGAGTCAAACAGATCCAATGTAAGTTCATCCTTAATCCATTTCAAGCGTCATAGATGTGTTTAGCGTTCCAACTCACGTACTCGTACATTCAATGTATTGATGTCAATTGGCCTGCATCGTTTTATGATGCAGACGCAAGTAACCAGGATCATCACGCAAGCACCGTTGATTCAGTTGAGAGCTCCAGAGTTAGTTGGTGAGTCTCCTTGCATCCCCGAGGACATCCTTTTATTGCTTTTCTAGTTTAGACCATTAGGATGTTGTGGGGTATGTCCCAGGATCCATCTCAATCAGTTTAAAGGTTTCATAGACAATGTAGTAGTTTAGTTTTGGTGTCTCCTTCATTTTATATTTTGTATGTTACAGTATTGAGACTTAATTGTCTTTTGATCAATACAAGTTATTGAGTTATCTTATGAGAATGCCTTTAATTCTTTATCTGAGTTTAGCATAGTCTTCCGTTGGGTTAAGTAAGTTAGGACAAGGTTCGCTCAAGGCCAGCAATGGTCGTTGAGTGCCGCCCTCGTCTAGGGTGTAGGATCCGGGGGTGACAATAAATGTAAGCCATGAATAACACTTGATTGTATGATTATGAGAATATACTTTGTTATTGTAATTGTGGCTTCTTAGTGTTACGTTTCAACACACTAACTGAGATATTGAATGTCACGTAGTAGCATACATATTGAATCGGGTGTCATGATTCGGCACACTAACTTGAATCGGATACCACGTTCTGGTGCACTAACAGTTTGGGTATGGTTCCCATGAGAGGACCACTAATTTGTCATATATGCATATTTATGTGATATTGGGAATGTGGAATTGTACATTGCATTTGAAATTGTTTGATTGAATCGTGACTTTGTATAATCAGACTAATGTGGCGTGTTTGTTTGATGGATATCTAGTTATTAAATGAACAATGAATGGCCAGGATGAAAACAGAATAGGATATTGTAAGTGAAGATCAAGGATCCAGGTGTTACTATGTGTTGCTTTGAGAGGTGATCTGTATTAGTGACTACTAAGTACATGGAATGATGATAGGTTGTAACTTCTAAGCAGGGTCCTCTCGACCATAAGGCCACTAAAATAATCGCTTGGGGCCTCAATTTTTTTAGGCCCCCATTTTCTCTCAAGAATGTGTGTGTGTGTGTGTGTGTGTGTGTGTGTATTGTTAAAAAAATCATGTAATGATAAATTTGAAAAGAATTTTTTGTATAGAAAATATAATTGAGAAAATTAAATATTGTTTTGTTGATTGTAGTGTCTTTTCTAAATTCTCATGTGGCTAATTAATTGTAGTATTCTTTTGAATTTTGCATGTCGCTATCTATTTGTTGTCTAGCTCTTTATATTTTGACGATTATCATGAACCAACGGTATTGTGTTCTTATTATTACTTTCATTATTGAATATTCTTAAGTCTCTCAAATGTGTTGAAGAAAAGGAAGTTGATGATTGGAACATGTCAAATGCAGTTGAGTGATGTGTTTTTGACATGTTTCAATCATTAGCTTCCTTTTTAATTAACACTTATTGCATACATGTCAGTTAGCTGCGTTGGACCTGTTCCTTTGACATGTTTCAATTATCAGCTTTCTTCTTCTTCAATAAAACGTCCAACATTCTACACTATGTGATATCTTGTTATGTGTTTATAAAAAGACTAAATTTATTACCTTATTCAAATTTCAAGTACTAAAATTAATCAACACTATTTTCATATTATTTCTTAACTTATCAAATTCATCTCTACAGTGTTTTAATATCATTTTATTTTTAAAATTTTTGAGTCATGTTTAAATGTGTCAACTTTACATTATATAATTTTCATTGAAAATTTACATTATTCTATTTTTACTTCATACTGTCTACATATATCCTGTCTCTCCAGACCTCATTTATAAGATTACACTAGTATATTATAATTATTCAATTTATATATAATAACTTAAAAAAATAGGATCTCTTTATAATATTTGACTTTAGGTCCTTAAACTTGTTGAGACGGCTCTAGTGCTAAGTAGTTGGTTCTACTTTAATTGGGAAATCTATGGGGAACGGTTATAGCCTTGATAGAGTAAATTTTAATTCAAGTTTGGGTCTTGACACTAATGAAATTGTTATTATTTTTTAGATGAGTAGCATTTTTCTCCTATGTTTATATTAACCTATTTATGTTTTTTTTTAAATCACTCCCTCCGTTCGGTGTTTGTCATGGTTTTTATTTATAGAGTCAAACTAGAAAAATTTTGACTAACATTTTAAGATGTATTTTTTCATCATATTAATATGTAAAAAATTGTAATTTATAGTAATTTTTATATAGTTTTAAAATATCTAATTTTTTTGTTTAAAATATCGAATTAATGTGATCTAATTTACTTTTGAAAATTAGTCAAATTGACTTTCGATAAGCACAACATGACAAACAATTCTGAACGAATGGAGTAATTTTAATATAAGTAGTTTCTTATTCACCTAAGTTAATATTTGACCGGAATAACATCTTTATTAGGTAGTGATAATCATTTTTTAAAAAACTATATATAACATGTTATTATTTAAATTTATGACACCACATGTGAAAGTGACCGTCGGAGTAAGAACAGTTACTTAAGTATAATTAATATTTTATTCTTATAATAATATTGGTAAACTTTAATATACATTTATATAATATAGCTATAGTTTAATTTTTTATGTTATGTGACTATAACTATACAATAAATAGCAAATTTAATTGTATATCAATAATTAGTTTTTTTATGTTTAATATAAATAAATAATAAATAGAAAAATTATTATTAAACTCATAATTGTTTATGTATTCATACCTTCTCTTTCTATCAATAACCTTATATTATAGATTTGTTTTGTATCTTCCCCTCAATTCCTCCAATTCAAGATCCTTTTGTATGATTGTAGGAGTGATTTATGTGGTTCAATTCATTATACTTATATTTGTCGTTCAATCAAATATCAAATGTTTATATTTAATAATACTTATATACATAGATAATTGTATTGTAATATTAATAAAATGGTGATTTGTGAATTCAAATATATTTGGATACATAAGTAATTTATCCAATTTGATTAGGCAATACAAGTATAGTTGGCTACATCAATACTATATTTTTATAAATAAATACCTAAGTTAACGTCAAGCCTCAAGTATTATAGAAAACTTCACAAAAAATAGATCGACGTTTTGTTGGTTTTTTTAATTTTTTATATAGTTGAATACTTACACACTTTGATACATACAAATTCTATGTTTTTCCATTTTCTTATTTAACAACAGTGTATTCATATTATAGTAAATTGGTATATTCATTTTTTTGGTTAACAATAGTGTATCCAATTTTCAAATTGTTGTATTCATATGCTAAAATTGTACTACTTTACCTTGTTTGATGTATTAATACAATAAATTTTTATAAATACTTGTATCCTTGACATATTAATAATTTATGTTTTATACATAGAAACACCAATTTGAATTCAAAGTATTCATATGCTAATTGTACAAGTAATACATTTTCCTTATTTAGTTATTGTAATTACAATTGTATTAGTGTATAAATAATAAAAGTAAAAAACATATGCAAAAATACAACGAGAAAAGACATGAATAAACTTTTATATTCAAAATTTTATGAATATCTTTATGATTAGTATTTAGTGAATATATTGTATTTAGGAATATAAATACAACCTTTTATATTATGTGAATCAATCATATTTGCATACAATATGTAAATATTAGTTGGTAATTTAATAATGAAAATTTCAGTTATTTAGGAACATAATAAATGGTTGATACTTTGAAATTATGGTAACATATCATACCTTATTTAGTGCACTGTATAAATAATAATAATAACAATAAAATAAAATAAAATTTAATACAAACATGCAGCTAGAAATTGACATAAAGTGTATTCATTTTTAATAAATAACATATTTATAGCTATTGAACTTCAATAACCCTATAAATGTAGTTATTTTTATAAGTTATTCTATTACATATTTATAAAATGAATGTATATGGAAAAAAAAATTAGAAATAAAGTTTCACTTTTTTCCCAACTTAAAAATAAAGTCCCACTTTTTTTCCTAGTGTGTTGGAATCGGGTAGCTAGGAAGGGGGAAATTACGTAACTATGTTATATTAAAAAAAATATTTACTCTTATTTTTAGTAATAAAATATATTTTTTATTTGAACACTTGCAATATAGTTTTAATACATGTTGCAGAGAATGATTTATAAAACACATATAATTTAAATTTTATTGATAAATAATATATTTATCATATATTTTAATAGACTTATAATATAAGGATAATTTTTAGAGATCTCTCTTAAGATTTTGCTCTATAATACTCACTTTCTTTTTTAGTTTATGATATTACGCCTACTTTTTTTATTTTGATTTTTTTTTAAAACCATTTTTTAAAATCAATTTAAAATAATATAAATCAATTATGACTTGACAAATTTGTCCATCTTTATATAAATTTATTCATTTTATTAAAAACATAACTTATTTAATAAATACTTTAAAAATAAATCAACAAAAATAAATTTATACTATAATATATAAATATTTTATTTACCAAATAAAATTATACATTTCAAAAAGATGACATTAGAATCGGAGATAGGGGATTTCTCTTTTTCCCTAGAAGATATTTTTTTATCGTCTATAATGAAAGTATAGTTTTTAGAAGGCCACTAATTTGAACAAACTATAAATATAGTTAAACAATATCCGAGATTTACTTTGTTTTTTTATTAGTCCGAATAATTCAGATTTACGGGAAAGCTTTCTCGCCAAACATTCAAATAAATAATAAATTAGGTAAACCGTTGGTGTCAACCTCAAATTAGTATTATTTAGTTATCCATTGTTCTCCCTTAAGTTACTCCCTATCATTGTATTCTTTTGTATGTATAAAAAAAAACATTATTTCTGCAACCATAATTATTTTTTTTAAAAAAAAAAAGGGAAGAGATAGCTGTTGTGAAGGGAAAAAAAGAAAACAATGGCCTCTCTTAGATGTAATTACTCAGTTATATTTGTGTTTTCAATTGTGTTATTTGCATCTTTAATCCCAAAATTGCATGCCAACATTGGTGACTTTGACCCATATTTGGAAAAGAAAGCTGAAGAAGCCCTTCAGTCTTCTCTTGCTGCTTACAATGAAAATCCTGAACAACTTACACAAACATTCAACAAGGAAGTTGGAGAGTAAGTGCTTTTATCACCTTCTTTTTTTTTTATCTTTAATATTTTTATTTTTTTACAAGAAAAATAATGAAGTAGTTAACATTGGTTTTTGTCTAATATTGCAGAACTCTCTTTAATGGCACAAGGAGGTATCTGAGGGAGATAATATGAGAAAAATGTTTTCATGATGTAAGAGAAAATGGAATTCTTATAAAAATTATCTAATTTGATTTATCTGTTTACTGTAACAATGCTCTCATTCAGAAAATAATATAACCTCACCTTTGCAAAAGATGCAAGTTTATCAATACTATTCATTAGGAAAAAAGTCAAGCAAAAGTACTACTGCAAATAACATTTTGAAACAAGAACAGAATTACTACCCATAAGAAAAGAATCAATAATCCCAAGGTAGAATCAAAGAGTAGACTAAAACTAAGTCGCGTTCATCTTCAGCTAAGCATGTTCAAACACGATGGACAAAATTATTCATGAGCCACATAGAGTGATTTTGGGAAAGGAAACTGCATAGCTGAATGAAGCATAGTCTAGTTTCAAGATACTTTCGGATGAACCTGATATCAGACCAAATATTTTGTGCATTGTTTTCATTCCATAACAACTTTTGCTCCAACAGCTTTCATTTTCTTAATTATTTGTTCTGCTTCTTCCTTTGACACTCCCTTCTTGAAAACAGCAGGAGTTTTCTCGACTAAGTCCTTTGCTTCCTTAAGTCCCAAATCAGTAAAACTTCGGACTTCTTTGATTATCTTTATCTTTTGAGCAGACTCATATGACTCCAGTTTAAGTTCAAAAACAGTTTTCTCTGGTTTCTTTTCCTCCTTAGCTGCTTCTGGTCCCTTCATAGCTGCTGCTGCCAATCCAGCAGCCCCTGCCTTCATAACCCCAACCATTGGTTGCTCGCTCATACCCAACTTCTTCATAAGAATCGAAGACAGTTCTGAAACTTCAACCAAGGTAAGTCCTGAAACTTCATCCACAAGCCTCCATACCCTATCCGATGGAGGACTGCGATGCTCGGTAGGATCAAAATTTGCAGGATCATAATCAGCTGGAAGCTTTCTCTGGTCAATCTCTACTTCTTCCTCCTCTTCTTCCTCTTTCCTAGCAGGCTGACCAAAGTGTCGAGTAAAGACAGTTGAGGTAACAAAATGGGAGTTAGCCACATTAGATTGAACAGATTGTCTCAAGAGTACACAAGGCAAATGATGCCTCAGTCGTGAAATCAAACTCATTTCCAAAATTCTACTGCACAGGGAACTGTACTAGAAAGTAACCATCTACGGATCCTTCTGCTAGCTCGATCTGTACCTGCAAAAACCAACAATAAGGTCATATGGAAACTCTGATTATATTTCCAAACAATGTAGTGACAGACAGCACTTGGAATCAAAAAGACAAAAAGTTTTAGGTGTGAATGAGAATCAAGTTTACATGTGTAAATATTAAGCACAACTATAAATCTTTTTATCGATAAAAGAAGATATATCAAGAAGAAGAAGATGGAAGCTCTAATTCCACTTCCTAATTATAAAGGAACAGGTACGACAAAAAAGAACAAATAAAAAGTTTCAGTAATGAATGAGAAGCAAGTGTACAAGTGTATAACTGCAAACATTACAACTGAAGCTTTTACCAGAAGAAAAAAAATGGAAGCTCTAATTCCACTTCCAGATTATATAGAGAGCACTTAGGATAAAAAAGAACTTAAACAAAAAGTTTCAGGAATGAATTAGAGTTAAGTTAACAGGTCCATAGCGGTATATGTTATGCACAACTAAAGCTTCTTACACTTAAGGGCATCTCCAACCCTACACTCTATTTTAGTCTCCAAATATAGAGTTCTTTATTTTTTCAGACAACCAACTACAACTCAATTCTCTATTTTACTCTCTAAAAAAGAATTATTTTTCTCTCTTTAATATGATATTATTACTTCTATTTCATTCTTATATTCTTATTTCATATAAATCATTTATTTCTTTCTCCCAATGAATAATTTATATAATTCTCATCTGATAAAATTTTTATTTTTTCATACTTTATTTAATATAAATTATATTTTATTCTAAATATTTAAATATCATAAATTGCACGAAAATATTATATAATATATAAATTAATGAACAAATTCAAATAAAAGTAAAAATACAATTACATAAACATTACATAAACACTCAATTTTTGAAATTATTACGCTATTTTCATAAATGCTCTACTAATACATTACGGAGTTCAAAAGAGCATTTTTGTCCTTAATTTTATCATGTCTAGCTAAAGATTGTTCAAATCAGAGATTTCCATCTACCACCATTTTTGTCGTTGCAGTTGGAGCCTCTACGACATCTTGAATTAGTGCATTAAGATTATGTTCTCATTTATCATGGTGTGTAGTATAATACATGTAGTCATTATATCATGTAGCACTTCCTTTCTTCAAAAACTTGACGGTCTTGCAATAATTGCAAAACTTTGAATGCATGTTCCACATCTTTTCGACATGATTCTTGCTTCATCGCGAATTAATATGTTATATATTGTATTTTGTCTTGCATTTAAATATTATGTTATGTATTGTATTGTTATTTGTATTTAAATTAATTTTTTCATCTTATCATTTTCATTTTGTGTATTCTTTATAAGGAAAATTAATAATAAAATAAACTTTTATTATTGGTGAAAATTATTAAAATTATATTAATTGAAACTAAAGTAGAATATATTAGATATTATATTTTTTTAAATAGTATTTTACATTCAAAAAGAATCATGATTATTAGATATTTAATAAATGAAATTATATGTAAAATAATATGTTAATGAAAAGTAATGAAAATAATAATAAAATATTAAAAAAGTGAAATAGAGAGTGTGAACAGTAGTATGAATAATAATTTGAAGAACTACTATTCACCTCCCTATAAATGGAGTATAGAGAGTAATATGGAGAGGGGTTGGAGAGGGCATTCTTTATTTCAATCTCCAAATATAGAGAATGGAGAGTAAAACAGAGGTGGGTTGGAATGGTCTAATAACTGTGAAGTGTTAACAAGTGCACAACTGTAAAAAGTTGACAAGAGCATCACTGTATATGTTACACTGGAAGTTATCCTCTGCACAGTGTAAATACAAATTTACAGAGAGAATAACACCCAAACATTAAGTCAATCATATAGAATAAGTTTCTGAAAAATTCCCGTAAAATAATTCAGCACTTGCTCAAGTCCAGACTCCCTACATATATCACCAATTGTCTAATGGACAGCAAGAATACAAAATTTGGTGCTTCAATAAACCTGAGGGGAAAACAATACACTTATTTTTTATTGTTGAGAACAAAACAAAAAGTATTTTCTTTTATGCAATACCTTTGACGTTTTTATAGTCATGCTCTCTAAAACAACCTATAAGTTCAGAAAAAAGTGTAACTTGCAAACAACAGCAGACCCACAATTTAAAGGCCATGGGTGCTCAAACACCCGCTCAGCTCAATGGGGGTTCATCGTCCCTAGCTGCAAGAGAGAAGAACCAAATGTCCTAGTAAAAGGTTGTCACTTTACCTTGTGAAAAAAAAATAAGCATGTATTCCTAGGTGAGAAGATGTCAGGTGTGTTATAGACGATGAACAAAGAAAAGGCCAAAAGGGTAAAATAAAAAGAATTTGTATGAATTAAGAAAAGGAACATGAATCAATTTGACGGGTATCTTTACTAATGACCTGTATCATGGGTGCTCACCACATATCTATAACTTATCACTAATGATCATGAGAAACACCAGTCTAAATGGCGACACAATGACAGAAGTATATAAAAGCAAGCAATCAAACTGAAGCGCAGTCAATAGATGCTTATAATGTTATCTGAGGTGCATGACCTTTGAGATGCCTAAGGAGTGGCCATTATGGTTATCCTTAGATGAATTGTGGTATAATACTTCTTACCACTCCTCTATGCATATGACCTTCTATGAAGCAGTTTATGTCCAAAAGCCATCCTCATTGCTTCCTTACATGATTCCTAACAGGATTTGGTTGATAGGAGGTAGCACATAAGAGAAGCCACATTGAGGACCATCAAGTTACACCTTGACAAATCCTAGAGCAAAATGAAGTTGTTGGCTGATATAGGGGAGGACTGAGATCCAATAGTGTTGGTAATTAGGTCTAAGTCAAATTTCAGTCTTACGGGCTATTATCCTTGAGGTCACATGCTTATCAGAAGCTTTTAGTCATGTTCTTTGGACCCTTTAAGATCTTAGCCAGGGTCGGAGCTATTGCTAACACTTAAGAGTTGCCTATTGCATCCAAGATCCACCCCAATTTTCACATTTCCCAGTTGAAAAGAAAGTTAGGATCTCACATTGCTTTGGTGACCCTGCATGTTGTTCAAACTAATATAAAGGAACATGAATCATTTCATCAGGTACTTTTAGTACAGAATTATTAATAATGATGATGAGAAACACCAATGTTAATGAACAGAAGTATATTAAAGCAAGCTTAACCAAAAGTTATCTCAAGTTGAACACAAACATTTCCCAAACTTGAGACGAAAAAAGGTATGTAATTTCAAACATATCCTTTGCCCATAACCTAATATTAGATCCTGAAATCAGTTACAAGTGCACTTCCCTATTAATTTTTGAATAAGTGCAACCCAAATAAAGAAGCATAGATTATGGGTAGGGCTCAGTTACCGTAGTTCCTAAGCTACAGATTATGCGGCAAGCTCTGAATAACCTCCGCAAAATGAAAAATCAAAGTTTGAAGAAACCCAAAATGATGAAGAAAAGATGATTATATAAACCCAAACTGACCTTAGAGTTTTGAGTTGACGAATCGATGGCTGCGGCAATTGCAGACAGTTCGAAGAACCCTTGTGGATGAATCCCAAAACCAGTTTTAGCCCTTTCTCCTAAAACCCAGGGGTAATAATGTCATTTACGTAATCACTTCCTTTTTAAGTTTTTTTTTATAGTATAAATTTAAAGAATCTCATAGTGTAATACAATAATTACTTTCTGTCCCGACAAATTTAGTATTTATTAATAATTCCTTAAAATTGTTGTGGCGTGATACATTAATATGTTGTGATACATGGTAAATGATACACAATAACTTAAAACTGTTAAGATTAAAAGGGGGGAAAACGGAACATTTAAATTTGTTATCTAAATCAGCTTAAATTACGGTAACAGTTCATTAATAAGCATTAATTCAGTACGTAATTGGATAACAATTTCAAATTTTGAAAATTCAAGAATATATCATCTAGTTTGAAGACAT